AAAAAAAAAAAAAAAAGAAAGAAAGAAAAGAGAGAGAGAAGTGGGATGGCTTTCAACTCTATAAATTTTTCATGGTAACTTTTTTTCCTGCACTTTTACAGCCACCTTGGACATTTTGTAAAGTAATTAAGTGATCATCGCTTAGACTCTTTCCTGTTGGCTCATTTTCTGCCCTTTCCTTTAGGTACCTACTTTTTGGTCTTTTGGTAATGTCTGACTTTTCAAAATTATCTTCCTGGTTTCTTACTGAGGCCTGTCTGTCTTTCTTTCCCTTTTACTTCGGCATGTCTCAAACTGTAGGAATTCTGAGGAAAAAAGAGGTTCCGTAACTAATTGAGTTTGGGAAATACACCGTTGAGCAAAATCCAGTAGCTTACTTCCCTGCAGGCCTTCTAGAGCCTTCAGCATTCTGACATGCATTGTGAATCTCCGAAAAGGAAATCTAGCTTGCAGTGTTATCCCAAGTAACATGGAACCCTTTCTAACGAACACCTAACACCTCATGTAACCTAGTTCTTCAATCTTCAAATAAAAACTTCTAGTCCTTCAGTAATGTTTCTTAGCAGGAAACACGTTATATGCTGTCTCATCACTACATTGTAAACTCTTCGAGGGAAGATAACCAAAAGTTACCAATATTGTCAGTATCCTCTCTCTTAGATCCTGGAATAGACACCAAAAAGTTCCTGTTTTGTACACTTATGCTAAATGATGTCATTTAGCCTTCAGGATCTTTTTACTACACCTCAATCCAACTATTTGTGATCATGTACAATTTTTGTTTCACTGAGCGAGGCAATGCTGGAGCTAAAAAGATGAGTAAGACCTAGTTATGCCTCTTGGAGCATGTATCTGGTGGAGGAGATTTAAGTTAAGTACATGGACAACTCAAACACAAAATACAGTGTGGAAAATACTAAACAAGAGGTACAAACCACCCTCGAGGTTCAGAGGAGAAACGATAACAATCGGGTAGTTAGGAGAGAGGGACAATTGGGAAGAATGGGGCAGAAACATTTGAGATGGATTTTTTTTTTTTGAGACAGAGTCTCACTCTGTTTCCCAGGCTAGAGCACAGTGGCATCAGCCTAGCTCATAGCAACTTCAGTGTCCTAGGTTCCAGCAATCCTTCTGCCTCAGCTTCCTAAGTAGCTAGGCCTACAGGTGCCTGCCACAACACCCAGCTAATTTTTCAGGTTTTATTAGAAACAGGGTCTCACTCTTGCTCAGGCTGGTCTTGAACTCCTGAGCTCAAACAGTCTTCCTGCCTTGGCCTTCCGGAGTGCTAGGATTACAGGTGTAAGCCACTGTGCCTAGCCCTAAGACAGATATTAATGAGTTTAAAAATGTAGACAGAGGGTATTAGAAAAGCAGAGGGAATAACATATACATGGTAGAAATGGAACAAGGAGGCCAGTTCAAGTGGCTCTGTTTGGCAGGAACTTGTGGAGCATGCGAAATGAGTTATACAGATGGGGTATGATCAGAACATGAATAGTAAAAACAGAAATAATAGCTTAAATGTCAGTGTGGGTTTATAGTAAGGTTATTGTGCTGTGAGAGCCATTGAAGGATTTTTGAGTGGGAAGGTGATGTGGGGACCACTTGCTCCTCTCCCATCCTGGAGTGTCACCCCAAATCTGTTTCCTTTGTCTCTGTCTAGCATTGCAACATATTAAAACTGGAACCAATGAATGGAGCTTCCAGTCTCCTGGCCGGCTTATGGAATATCTCTTCTTAGAGAGTTGTCCAAAATACAACAGAAACCAAGGCAAGAGATACTAGTAAACGTGCACTCACCCATTCTGTGTACAAGTCAGTCTACGGAGGGGGTGATCAAGGGGAGAAGATGTTCATATAAGAGTACAAATAAAAGTCTTTGGTAGATTTAATGCTAATACTTATGAGTTATGATTTCAGGGTGTCAATGAGGATACTGATAAAAAAAAAAAAAAGAAAGAAAGAAAAAAGGTGCACGCAGATAGTGAGCCAGGAGAATGAACTGTATCCAGTCAGGCTTTCAAGGCAGCCCAGGACTAAGAGTAAAACTCAAACAACTGGAGGTTTGAAGTCCACCCGTGAGGTCTTAGGAACACCATCCCTCCTGGTGTCATGTTGAAAGACTGCACTCTCCAGGCTGTGGAGATGGGCTGGAGAAGCTGGGTGTGTTTGATGCTGTTAAATTTTTCTGTGACGCAGACTTTGAGGTCATTGGGGGTGGGGGCAGAGACGTATCCTTGGCATTGGCAGAGCTTGGAGGTCTGAGCAAGCTGGCTCCTGCTGGGATTCAGTAAGGGAGCAAAGCAAAGCTTTGGCTTTTTGCCGTGGCCAGGGCAGAGTCCTGCCCAGGTTCTGTCCGCATGGCTTAGGGGTCCACCTGGCGCCCAGGACGCCTACGGATGGGCCTCTCTTAACTCCCACGGCCGCAGGCTTTAGCGCACCCCGGTTTCCCAGCAGGGGAGGGCTTTCCTTGCCCAGGCCGCCAAGGAGGAGCCGCGGCAGTCGGCCCGGCAGCTGCGGGAGCTGGTTCTGCTCTCCCCCTCGCAGGTGCGCGTGTGGCGCGGGCGCCAGGTGGGCAGGACGCGAAGGAGGGAGGCGCCCGCCATGCCCGGCCCGCAGCTCTTCGCCTCGGCCGCCCGCCCGCCGCCCCCGCGGAACGGCCAGCCGCAGCCCCTGTGAGGAGGAAGAGGCGGCGGCGGCGGCGGAGGAGGCGCCGCCCCCTTGGCAGGCTCCCCGACCCGGCGGCCTCGGCAGGACCCATGGCGGATTCCTCGCCCGCGCTGTCCCTGCGGGAAGGCGGCTCCCGCGCCCCGCGCCCCGCGGCCCACTCGCCACCGCCGCGCTCGCGCTCCGGCTCCGAGTCCGAGGAGGCCGAGCTGTCGCTGAGCCTGGCCCGCACCAAGACCCGCTCGTACGGGAGCACGGCCAGCGTGCGGGCGCCGCTGGGCGCCGGCGTCATCGAGCGCCATGTGGAGCATCGGGTCCGTGCCGGCGACACGCTGCAGGGCATCGCTCTCAAGTACGGAGTCACGGTGAGCAAGGCGCCGCGCGGCCGGGGAGGGAGGGAGGCGGTGCGGCCGGGGAGCGGGTGCGGGGGGCTGGGGTGTCGGGAGGGCGGCGTCCGACCCCGGCGGCGCGGCCCCGAGCCCTAGCTCAGCGCGCGCTGCTGGCTACGGAAATGGTCGGCGAAGCTGGTCCTGCAGCCGGAGGGGCGGGCCGCTGGGGCTCCCTCCCCAGGTAACTGCATCGAGTTCCCGGGTGCCCTGCCCAGACTCAGACAAGATCGGTCGCGTGAGGAAGGCCGGAGAGAACTAAGGCTCTGGCATCACCAGGAGCCATATTCACCAGATTTGCGGTCCCGATCGCACTACAGTATATTTACTCAAAGCCAGACTGAGGTGAATTTTATTCTCTATGTAAACAAGCTCTGTGATGAGTCAGAAATGGTACATTTGTACCTACCGGATGGTTCTGGTTCTGTCGATTATGTTTCTTTATTTAGAAGTGAAATTACACCCCAGGGCTCACTGGCAACCGTGAATGTGACACCTGTCGCTAAGCAGCAGCCAAGAACTGTGGTCTAGGTGAGCTGGAAGGTTGTGTTCATTACACATTTATAAGTGTGTGTGTCTAGGGTGTATTGCATTACACCTCTTGGAAGAACATGGGAACCTGAAGGAACACATTGTTTCATTAAAATTACTTACAATTAACTCTAAGCTCTGTGATGGCCTTTTTGCATTTGAGTTTGGTATCACTTTTCAGTGTTCTTTCCTGAAGCATCTTAAACAGCAATGAGAAGAAAAGATGATCTTATCTATATCTTTCTCTTAAAGTGAAACTCCTCCTGGCCTTTTACCCAATGGCGGAGACTGAGTAATCTATTTTGCATAGTTGAGCGGGTGTACATTTACCTATCAGGTCCTTCTGTCGTTTAAACATTTTGAGAGCAAGAGCCTTGCTGTGCAGTCCTACACTGATATTATCATGCTATGGAGAGCCCCATTCTGCCCTCTTGGGAGTCATCTAAATGTGAAACATAGAGCTACAATTCTCCATGTGCATGGGGCCTGATTTGGGTCAGAGCCAGAGGAAAGCAGGGCTGGGAAATATCAGTAGCTACCCTCTGCTGAATGCCTGCTGTGTGCCAGGTATTGCATTTATCCTGTTTCATCTTGATCTTATTTAATTTGACTTTCACAGTAAGCCTAGGAGACAGGTGTAATTAATCTTTTTACAGATGAGAAGATGGATGATGAGAGGCAAGACTATTTTCCAAGTATGCTTATTTGTTAAGACCAGCTTTAATTAACACAGTGGTCAAGCACTTGCTTTTCTCTGGATATTACTTCTGACATCCACCCTTATTTTTATCTTGGCTACTGAAGAGGGAAGGTCTTTTCTGTATGTTTTTATGCATCATCCTTACTAGGCTGGGGTGACTGTACCTATTAATATATGATATTTCCCATTCCCTCTTCCTATGCAATTTCTCTGCAATCCACAGCCCTCTGTGGTCTCATCTGATTTGCCTATAGCTCCTACACACCTACTTGCTTCAGTTCTCCACCTTTAAACAAATACTTTCTAATCCCTATTTCATCTGCTATAGATCTTGTTACTCATAATTATTTTCCATTAAAGTGTAAATCAAATGTTTCATTACTTTTGATTTTAAGATGTTCAACCATAATGAATTGAGAACTAGAACTGATAGTGACAAATTGTGCATTACAGGGTTTTTCAACCTTAGCACTACTGATATTATGGACAAGATAATTCTATGTTGTGGGGGCTGCCTGGTATTGTAAAATATTTAGCAACATCTCTAACTTGTAACCTCTAGATGCCTATAGCACTCCCCAAGCCCTATCCAGACATTGCCAAGTGTTCCCTGGGTGACAAACTCATCCCTGGTTGAGAACCACTGGTTGTTTATTACGTATATAATAATTCATAACTGAATTGCTATTCAGTTGATGAAATTGTCAAAGATTCCTCCACTAATTGTATAGAACCAGTGAGTGTGATAATCCTTACAGTAGTGAAGAGATATTCTTGCTCTAATTAATATCTGCAGATATTAATGTATTTATTCATTGTAAATGAGATTATAGGTAGAAGTTCAAAAGGCAGAAAAGTTTTCTTGCTTTCTTTGACTTAAAAGAAAGATGTTGAGAGAGTTAAGTTTTTAATATTAACTGCCCAGATCATGTACAACATACTTAAATTGTTGTTTAAAGGGTTGGTGATGAGATATTGGAAGCTTTGAGACCCCGGGCAGTGTACCTGGAAATTAAGAGTCAGTCCAGGCAATAGTTGACCTTAATATTTCACATCTGAGGAGAGTCTAGCATAGCTCTTCAGTCTTGCTGAGAGGAGGAGGAATTCTCAGGGAAGCGTATCTGCCAAGGCAGCTCCTGAGCTCCCCAGCTGAGAGTCCAAGCAAGAGTTCAGTCCTTTGGTGGGAAAACTGCTAAGAGCCAGTAGTAATCTAGGCATAAGGAGGTTCCCAGAACAGAGGCTCTGATGGTAGGTGAAGATAGAGACCTAGTTGCCAGCTCTGGGTTGTTAGGGGAACAAACTGGAAGCTCGTTCTCTGAAGTGGTGCTCAAGGGCTTGCAGCAAGATACGTCTCCAGATATGGGAGTAGATTGGGTTCCTCAAATTTGCCTGGGCAGGAGAAGAATGTCCTGGGGAAGACTAAAAATAAAGGATCCCAGCTGACTTCAGAGCTTTGGGATCAGAATATCCAGAAAAGGAGTCCAGGAATTTCTATTTTTAACAAGCATGGCCTCTTTGCTTGTTCCTAAAGCACTGTCCCTCCTTGGAGTCTTTGCACTTGAGGTTCTGTCTGTCTAGAACACTCTTTCCCTGATAGTTATGTGCAGGGCTGACTCTGTGGGTGTGTCATCTGTGCAGTTGCACAAGCCTCCATCTTTAGAAGGGCCTCACACTTGGTTTAATGCTCTGAGGTCACATATTGAAATGTTTGTGAACAGGACCTCACATTTCCATTTTTCATCAGGCCCTGGGCAAATGATGTCACTGGTCCTTGCCAAGTGACTTGTTCTCTCACTGCTTTTAGAGACTTCTCCGTGAGGCCTTTCTTGACCATTCTGTGTCAAAGTGCAGCCTCCCACCCCTAGCATGCCTCCCTCAGCGTCCCTGCCTTGTTTTTTTCTAATAGTATTTATCATTCATCTGATTTTTCTTTTTTTTTTCCTCAGTGCTACCCTTTTGGTAATCTTTTAGTAAGTAAATAAAAATCCATGCCTTCATGGAGCTTATATTTTGTTAGTGGAGATGGTAAATAAAAAAGTAAAGTATGCTTTAAGTCAGATACTGATACACAAAATGAAGAATCATGCGGAGGAAGGAGACAGCAAAGACTGTGGAGGTGGCTATGGTTTAAATTGGTGTGGCCAGGGAAGGCCTCACTGAGGAGAGAAGGGAGGGAACGTGCAGATAACTGGGGAAGAACATTCTAGGCAGGGAAGAACATCCGGTGATGTTCCGGAGGTGGGAGCATAATTGACACCTTCCAGGAATGGTGTGGCTGGTGCTTGGCATGTAGTGGGCTATCATTGGACTAGATCACTCAGGGACTTGAAGGCCTTTGGCTTTTTCTCAGAGTTGGGACACATTTGAGCAGAAGAGTCACATAACCTGACTTGTGCATTACAAGCATCATTTTGACTGCTGCTTTGAGAACAGGCTATGGGAATAGCCAGTGCCAAGCAGGACGATCAGATAGAATAGGAGCTTTTGCAGAAATGTGGCTCGGACCAAAGCAATTGAGAAGGAGGGAGATGGTGAGGAGTGGCCAGGTCTGGATGATTTGCTGATATGCTATAAACGTTCTACCAATTTGTTTCCTGTTTAGTCCTAGAGATGGGCCCAGGGATCCAGGAGGCTGCTCTACAGGAAAAAAGAATGTGGCATTTCAAGAACCTGGCCAGGTCTGATACCCGATGGACCCTAGTTCTGTCAGTGACTTAGAAAGGATCACTATGACTTTTTCTTCCTTCTGTCACTTTTTTAGTCATTAATTGTCAGTAATAACTAGCATCCATTATTTTCTTAACCTACTTTTATAGAGCCTGGTTTGTTTGAAGACCTGTGCTAGATGCTGGGATTAGGATAATACATGTGGTTTTCTTTTATTCATGGTAAGTTTAACAGCCACTGCTTTCCACTAAACTGTGGCTACTTGAGAACCTGGGAACTTGCCTGATTCATCTTTGTATCTTCTGTGCCCACAAGCCTGAAGCCTGGCATATTGTGAGCTCTCTTCATACATGTGAACTTAATCCATGAGCCTGCCTGGTATGAAATACAGTGGAACCTCCACATCTGACCACCTCCCTATAGTGACACCTCCTTAATTTGACTTAATTTTCATAGACCAGACATGCACCACATGCACTTATCAGTACAGGAGGCCTAGTTCCTTATGTTGACCAGCTCTGTGTGTTGACCAGTTTGTTACAGTCCCTTGAGCGGGGTCAACTTACAGAAGTTCTATTGTAGTAGGCCCTGAAGTTGAACAGGCCCTGGAAGATGGGGCCCAGGTGGGCCTAGGAGAAGCAAAGAGACCTGAGTGAAGAGGTGCAGCCTGTGGCTAGATTTGGTTTAATAGTTCTCAAATCTTCAAAAGACAGCTGCTTTTACTGGTGTGTGTTTCCTCCCCTCACCAGCAGTGAGTCTTTACACTGAATTACGTTTAGGTTTACCGCAGTAGGAGGCGTTTAAGGAAGTGGGTCTGGGAAACCGAAACTATTTGGGCTGAGTTGAGAAATTACTATATAAATACAGTTCAAACCTCAGACATGAAGTTGATTGGGCTGGAGTTTCCCTGGCGCTGTTTGTCCCCACTGAGACACTAGGGCCCCTTCCCTTACCCTGTATTCCAGATTTAGCTATTGTGTTTTCAGTGATCCTCCTCCTCGGAGTCAAGCCTCTGGAGGAAAGTGACCAGTTCCAGGCTGCCACTGTCCACTTTTTGTTTAGAAATTCTGGAAAAGCTGCC